TAGTGAGAAACCAAGATCTGTGTGCTGGATGTGCTCACTGCTAATGAGGTGTTATTGCTTCCAGGCTCTTGCATGGCTAGAGCTAAGAAAACCATGAGTTCATATTGATGTTTTCAATTAAAATTTAATATTGTAGATTTATCTGAATTTTCTATATATTTATCTATTTTCCTGTACAATAGAAATTTTGGTTTCTAATAATATTACACATTTATTTATTTGTTTTATCTTATAGCATATATAAAATTGCTTCAAAATTATGACACCAAAATTATTTTAGCAATATTCAAATAGCTATGCCAGGTTTCTTTTGGCTATTGTTGGCATGCTGTATCTTTCTTTACCCCCTTTTTTTAACCATCTGATAACTGTATATTGAAGATGTGTCTTAGTAGCATATACTTGAGTATTTTTTTTCATCATCCAGTTGGGCAATCTTTATCTTTTAATGTATTTACTGTATTTACTGATCTGTTTGGGTTTAAATATGCCCTATTAATCTTTGTTTTCTATTTATCACATCTATTCTTTTTTTCCCTTTCCTCTCTCGTTCTGCCTTCTTACAGTGTTCATCCTTGATTTATTAAACTTTGATGCAAATTAGTATGTTTATCATTTCCCAAACAATGTAATGAACTTTGAATACTTCTTAAATTTATTTATCCCCTCCTGCTTTGTGAACTGCTTTTAACATGTATTTTAATTCTATGTATACTTGAAACCCTATAAAATGTTTTAATTTTTTTATACAGTCAGTGCTTATTTATATTTACCAACATATTACCTTTTAATCCCACTGCCCTTCATTTCTTGTATTTCCATGCCTCCATCTTGGGATCATTTTCCTTCTTGTTTTCGTATTTCTTCCAGTGAAGCTCTGGTAGTGATGTTTCTGATAGTCTCAGTTTCTGTTCATCTGAAAATGTCTTCATTTCAATTTAATGAAGTGAGGGTATTGGAGGGTAATTTTGCTGAGTGCAGAATTCTGGATTGGCAGTTATTTTCTTTATGGGCTTTGAAGAAGTTATTATATAATGTCTTCTGACTTCGTTTCACTCTGCAATACCCTTCTGTCTGGGAATTTGGCCCATCAAATCCTAGTTGCCTTAAAACAGACATTCCCAACTTCAGCTCTTCTAGTAGTTGTTGACAAATGGATTGCTTTGATACAAACAGGTTACCATAGCCAGAAGTCTGCTGCTAAAATAAACCTACTAAGTAAAGTTTAAAATTTATTTATAGTGTATTTTTTTACTTTATAATTTATCTCACTAGGAATATAGAACCAGATTACTGTTTTCAAAATTACTTGAAATAATTCTTTTCTTTGTGTGGTTATTAAATTTTAAAAGGCTGAGTGTTGGCTGCAGCAGCACATATACTAAAAAAAAA